TGTACCCATCGCTATCCTGTCTGTGCCAACACAGGCCTTGTCTGTACCCATTCATATCCTATGCCAACACAGACCGTGTCTGTACCCATCGCTATCCTGTCTGTGCCAACACAGGCCTTGTCTGTACCCATTCATATCCTATGCCAACACAGACCGTGTCTGTACCCATCGCTATCCTGTCTGTGCCAACACAAGCCCTGTCTATACCCATCCATATCCTGTCTATGCCAACACAGGCCTTGTCTGTACCCATCCATACTCTGTTTGCACCAACAAGGCCCTGACTGTACTTTCCTGTCTTTACTCAAACATACACAGCACTCCTGTGTTATATTATGCCTTACAAGATCTAAAACCTTGCATGATTTAAACCTGCATGTGATCAGTTCTGATTTGCACCTTCTGATGTCATGCACAGAGTGTTTGAACACGTTTCCCTCAGAGATCATTCATCATAAGAACTGTCCTACCGTGAAACACAAGTCACTCATCGGAAGGAAACCTTTGCAAGCACTTTCAGGCGGGAACCTGTTTGTGGGAAAATTTCACTCACTCACTGGGCCAACGGAAGCATCCATCCACCGCCAAATGCAGTTTGTGCTGCTGTGGGCACGAGTGGGACGATCGCGCTCGCGCTCCGACTGCATCGGAGCACGAGGCGCATTTGCCGCAAGCTCGATCGCAGCAGTGTCCCCAAGAGCAACCGATTTCATACTTTCATATGACAAATAAGGCAATTTAAAATCCCCTTGGAGGACGTAAAGATGACAGCGGAGGGCCGTTATTAGCAGCGGCTGGGGAGATGGGCGACAGGGACAGGGTTTAACGACGGGAATTAAGCACACAGATCCTTAACTTCTTCGAAGAAAATGTCACCAGGGAGCAAATGTTTCCACGGGCGTATGGTACCGGGGGGGGGCAAGCAGACGAGGGGAACTGGACACTTCTGGGACTGGGAGCAATGGAAAGGAATTTCATACATTAATTGTACTGGTATGACACCAGTAAATGTCAATGATTGCGAATCATATAGGAAAGCAAGTGGGAAATCTGCCAAATCATGAACACAGCTCTGTAGAGGTTTATTAGCCCAGTCTTTCTCAAGCTGAACCTTGGGGACCCCCAAACAGTCCATGCTTTTGCTAGGAGGGAGCAAAAATGTGGACTATCTGCCAGGGAGCAAAAATGTGGACTATCTGCCAGGGAGCAAAAATGTGGACTATCTGCCAGGGAGCAAAAATATGGACTATCTGCCAGGAAGCAAAAATGTGGACTATCTGCCAGGGAGCAAAAATGTGGACTATCTGCCAGGGAGCAAAAATGTGGACCATCTGAGTGTCTCTGAGGACTGAGTTGAGAACCATTGCCTTAGCAGACAAAAGCAAGCGTGACAGGAACAGCAGGCTTCAGATGGGTTACTGGGTGAAGAACGAGAGCAGGAAAGACCTTACACTAAACACGCCACCATCCCGCATGAGGAGATGGGAATGGCCATTGGGGACACATGATGTCAAATGGCCCTCTCGTCATCATCGGGGGGGGCCGACGAGCCCAAACGTTCCCGCGTGTCCATGAAGATGAGGAGATGTGGCTATGCTGGGACATGGGGACAGCCCCGTCACACCTATAGGCATGCGGCCACCCCCACACTCAAACACACCAGGACTTTCACAGACCCATATAAGTAATCTACAGGTATCTGTGCAGCAAAAATAAGACCTGAGCCATAATCTCAACACACTGTATTTCCGTCCCAGAGCCTGAGCTCTCACACTTCTTCCAAACTTTAAACCAAAGCAGGACAGGGTGCAAAATTGACTCACAGCCTTTATCAGCAACGCAGTATGGAAAAGAGTTCCCTGGGCCGAGGAAGCTCACATGAGAACATAAGAAATTTACAAAGGAGAGGAGGCCATTTGGCCAATCAAGCTCGTTTGGGGAGAACTTAACTAATAGCTCAGAGTTGTTAAAATCTTATCTAGCTCTGATTTAAAGGAACTCAGGGTTTTAGCTTGTGCTACACTAGCAGGAAGACTATTCCATACTCTAACTACACGCTGTGTAAAGAAGTGCTTTTTCAAATCCGGGCACGATACAGATCAATTAGTGTAAGTACACCCTGAGACAGTGGCCTGATATCTGAGCACAGACCTGACCAGGCCAGCACGTTCGGCTGAATGTATGAACTGCTGCTGGTCAGGAATCAGCCACGCTGGGGGTAAAACTAATAAGTGCAGAACCTGTAACATTGGGGGGGGGTTTGGGTGCTCTGAGATTTGGGTGATGTCTCCCGCAATTACGGCCGCTCACCTTATCATTAAATCCCCCTCTCCTCTTGGACAGAAAAGCGAAATGCGCCCCCAGCGATCATTAAGTATTCAGTGAGGACGCCTGGACCAGACTCCCAGAAAAGAACAACATCCCTGCTCTGTGAATTATTCAAAAAAATAAAAATAAATAAATCAAGCCTCTAGTCTCCAAGGACGGTGCCTGAGAAAGATTCTCAGACGCA